GGTGCGCAGGATGGGTGGGTGAGGTGGGGATGCTGGGGGGGTGAGGGGGCATGGGGTGCAGTAGGCTGGAGAGTGCTGGCATAGCGATGGGGCAGCACCTTAATGGGGCCAGGTCACCCCACGCTTCTCGGAGCATCGGTGACACAAATAACACGTTGTGACCGTTGCCAAAAGAAGTTATGGGGCCAAGACCGGCAAAGGGGCAGAGGGACACTGGCCGGGGAACCCTGGCTGCACAAGCCCATCAGGTATCCTGGGTATCATTCCCATGTGGCACCACCACCACCGTGGGTCACTCTTGCATCTTCCCAGCACTCTGGATGTCCCTCAGGGAGGGAGGGGACCCTCGTGTCCCCAGTGTACAGGGCCAGACAGCCCCAGGCAGCAGCAGGGCAGAGAGCTGGGCTGGCCATACCCTGTAGTGTGGAGAGGGTGCCAGGGCAGAGGCAGGAAGGAGATGCAGCTTTAATGGCATTTGTCAATGTTTACAACAAGAGTCATCTGGCTAAACAGCTATAAATCAGCACCCCAACTCCTCCAGCATCAGTCGTGTCCCCTCCTCTGCCCCCTCAGCACTGGATGAGTGCCTGGATCCTGCAGAAACAACCTCATAAATAACAGCAACAAAACAAACCCTCTTGCAGCCACGCAGGGCCTGTATGCGCCAGGCATGAGATGAACGCCTCCCATCCATCACTTTAATGGTTGTACTCTGGAAATTAAACCTGTCACGGCCCATCAAGGTGAAGGTTTTAAGTCTGTGACATCCCTTCAGCTACCCTCCTCCTTCCTGGCACTCTTTTTTTGTTGTTGTTGTTTTCCTTCTTTTCTTCTCTGTCCCTGCCATCCCTGTCCCCCCCATCTCACACCTGCCCTGGTGTGCATACCTCCACCCTGTGGTCTTCTCCGTGCTCCCCTGCTGCTAGAAGACCAGGTTGTACACTGGGTCGCAGGCGCCTTTAGCCCCGAGGCTCCTGCAGCTATGAGCTGGCATCTGCCAGCATCTCAGAGCCTGGTCCTGCATGCCTGCTGGGGGGTACAACTCCCCTGTGGCAAGGGGTCTCTCCTGCCCCACTGTCCCCTCAGGGCAATGACAGGGAATTGGGTACCATGCTTTCTTACTTCCCCCTTCCCTCCTCCCTTCCTTCTCTGTCTTGTTTCCCTCTTTCCCCACATTTATTCCTCTCCTGCACCATGTTATGCCAACCATTGCAGGCTCCTGGTACCCAGCCCTTGCACGGACTCACATGTCCCTCCTTGGAGCAAGAGCTGCACCCCTCTCAGGGCCAGAGCTCCCCCGCGGGCAGTGCCGGGGGTCTGGACACCTCCTGTGTTGGCAGCAGGACACTGCCGTGCCTTGGGCTGGGTCGCCTGGGGACGGGGGTCCTGGGCACCGAGGATGCCACGCACCCAGGGGGAAGCTGCTGAGCTGCCAGCAGCCACTGTGGGTCACTGTCATCCCACACAGGACCGTCATTCGTCTGTCCGTCCATCCGTCCATCCATCCATGAATCCCTCCCTCCCTTCCCATGCTCCTCTCACCCACCCTCTGCTTCCCCTGTGCATCCCTCTGTCCCAAAAGCATCACATCTGTCCCCCTGCCCAGGGCGCAGCCCTCCAGCCCCACGGCAGCATCAGCTGCTGCC